CATCACATAACAGTTCATGAGAAATAATACCAGTACAGACCAGCTAACCTGGGAAGTGAAATTTCCACTGAAAATGCTGATGCATGCATATGAGCGCATTGCAGTGAAGTCTTACATTGTAAGAGAAAGAGGCAGCTTCAGTCAAAGATGAGAATAAAATCGAAGCATATTCAAACTCATGCATTCTTGGCGAATATGAACTCAACATGTTTTGGAGAAAGAAACTTATCAGAACTATTTAGTTCAGATTAGATTCTGTTGTAAATTGTAATAAAAATAATATTTAGATTTATACAGTGCTTTCCATTTAAGGATTTAAATGAATTTTATACAACATTCTCAGTGAACAAGATCACAAAATACAGGCAGAACCTGGCAGAACTATTCTATCAATTTATTTACAAAAAATATTGTCAAAAGTCATCTATTCCTACACTGTACTTGTGTTACTGCTGCAAAAGTAGAAGTCTGTTGTAGCAATGAATACTTGAATTAGCAGTGGAAGAAAGTAGGATTATGCTGAAAAAGGTAACATCTTGCAGTTGCCATGGCGATAGACTTCTATGAGCATCGCCACTAATTGACACTGGTGGGTGCTTCTGTAAGCACTTTAGTATGGAACAGAGAAATAGTTGCTACCTCTCAAAGAACTGAGTTGGATTATTCATGTCTAGTGTGGAGGAAGTTAGACTGCCAGGTAGGAGACCCGAGTTCAGGTTCCAGGTCTGACTGTGTTATTTTTGAAGACTAAGATATGCCTGATCAAAACAAAAGGCATTTGATTTTACTTAAGATATTCAGTTTAATTACACAGGAGGCATTAATTTTAATTACGCAGTGCTGGTGTGTAGCAATGAGTACTGTGTATTTTTTTTAAGGCATATTTTAGTTCAAATGTATCAGAGCTTAACATAATATATCTTGGTAGACAGAACAAGATGATAAGGGATACAAATACTGTTAAAAATAGAAACACTGTTGGGTGTCCATATGGTTTTAACTGTTACCATACACAAATGTACCTCTCTTTCAGTGGGAACTTTTAAACTTTTTAACTGGTGGAGATCTCGAATTGTAGTAGACTGGCATGTGTGCTTATGTGTCTGTGCATGTATAGAGTGTACCTCTTACATTTGACTTCTTATATTTCTATTTTAGACTGTAAGATGACCATATAGAAATGATTCCAGTGTCAGGTATGTATAATTTTTAAAGATAATTTGGAATTTGGTATTAGGAGTGTAAACCATTTTCGTGAGCTATTTCTCAGACAATGTTAACATTACTTGTTTTTTTTTACCTTCTAATTCTTCAATGGACAGATAATTTGATGAAATTTAATAATTCTGTCAGTGTACTTCATGAATAAACAAAAGTTAATATATATGCATAGTATTTAAACTTAAATTGGCATTTCCAAATGAACTAATGCTCATCCTGGTGGAAGGAATACATGCACTAAAACTAAACTTAAGTCGTCCCAGTTAAGTTAGAGGCTACTCTTCTAGCATCTCTGATAGCAGTGGAAAGATACAGCAATCTGCAGAATTCAAGACCTCCCCTAGAACTATTCAGAGGTGTCTACGGTGCTTCTATATTATTTTAGGATTAGACATACATTTTTAAGCTGAATCTTTCAGTCATTTTCATTTATGCTCTCACAAAGTGGCCTCACAGGAAATGCAATAGAGCCCTTTTAGATGATAGATTAAGCCAAAATGTGCACCTACACTAATGTTTCCTTTATTGACTGCCACATTTCCTGAAAAGAATACGGGAAAAGAAACATGTACTAGATGGCAGGATCCACTTGCTAATTGCACTACACAGTCTGATGCACAAGCCCTGAATTCTTCTCATTATCCACTAGAGGTCACCATTGAAACAGAAAAAATTGAGAGAATGTATTTTTCTGCCTCTTAAGTGCGAGGGTGGCTGTTCACACCTTAGTCAAAGTAGAACTCCAGTCCAAGAAATTCCAAGAAACTTGTAATGTTCTCCTAAAGCTGTCTGTCCTCTGACCTTGGTTATTAACTGGAAAACATTGAAAATCTTTTACAGGAAACCACACCAGGAGTATTCTCTTGAGACTTGGCCCCACGTGGTAGTAGGCTTCTCTATTCATTACCCTTACTTGCTTTTCTCTGCTTCTCTTACCTCCAGAGCCATTTGAATTGCCTATTCAGCGAAATAAACTCATAATTTCTGTTAGGTACCTTGCTAACTGGAAATTTAAGATAGGGAGTATCCTGTTTGCCTATTTTAGTATTATCTATTAGAGCTATCATATCAGAGAAGCCCACAATGAGAAATTCCCTTGTCTTTATTATTAACACAGTACACTAAGATTATGGATAAAAATGAAGGGAAATAAAACCTATTCAGACAGCTTTGTTCACCTAGGTTTAGCTGTTCTGTGTCTTAATGTTCTATAATTGCACCAGAGGTATTCTTTATTATAATAATCATAAAATTTAGACCAATTTTCAGTGATTTTGTTTAGGTTTCTGTTTCATGTATTAATACATTTAAAAGACAGAAAAGGTAATTTTCATGATCAAGAGGATAGGCTTCTTGATAACTCTAAGTCGCCCTTGAGTGAGCATCTTTAAGCAGTGTAGACTAATAACTGCAGCTGCCTTAGGGATCACCTAAGTTACCATCCATTTCAGCTAGAATTGCTGTTGCATATCACAGAAGAAAGATCACAGTGGCTGTGAATCTGAGCAGTCGTTTGGATTAGAGCACATGTTTCAAAAGATGCTGCTTTGTATTCCAAAAGAAGATGTATTTTACTACTTGGGCAGATACTGACCCTGCACTGAAAAACCTATCTGAATTCTGGAATTAATTTTGCTGCTTCTATATTCTGTCTCTGTATTTTGCCTTTTTTTTCCTCCTAGATTTGAGTTGACTAATTGCAGTTTTTCCTGCATGCTACTTGAGACCAAATTCAACTACTCTCTGAACCTTTTATGATACTAAATAGTATCATAATAGACTGAATTTAAGTTTCTTCCTTTATCACATTTTTTCCAATTTATTAAAATGCAGAGATACGAGGGCTTCATTTATTATTGAATACTTTAAATACAACCATTGACATTCAAGTGCTTAATTCAGAGAAATAAAACTGACTGAGGACAACAATACCTTGCATTTGGTTAGTGTATTATATCCAAGGAAGCAAGGAAGCATTCAGGAAGTGATAAATTCATCAGCACAAAATGAATGGAAGGACATTCTTTTAACATTTAACCTTCAGGGTCCCTCTCTAATTATCTTTCCCAAAATTTATGGAAAAGACTTACATAAACTGCAAATGTTACTTTAGCTGTTGAAGCTATCAAATTCTGGGATTTCTTCTTAAAACTAACATACTCCACAGTGTTTGCTCAAAAAGTTTCTTTAAGCGTAGTTCCATAGCAGAAGAATAGGAATGAATGTTTTACTGGTGTGCCACAAACAAGGTGGTGCACAGTGTTGAGGTATTTGCTTAATATAGGGCCTGAGATCTCTGCCTCAATTCTCCTTCCCAATCTGTATGCTCATTTTTTATTTTGGTGTAGCTGTTCTGTGAAGTTGTGAGCTTACTGATAAGTTAGCTCATGAGACATATCCACTATGTACTCTTTTGCTGGAGAACTATGTTTTATTCCTTTGGGAACAAACCTATACCTGACTGCAGTTAG